CACACTTTGAACTGTCCTCGGTATTATTTCCCCTGTTCCACTTGTCATTCTAAATCAATTCTTTTTTACAACGTTAAATTCTATGCTATCAGATTTCGCACAATATTACGTAACGTAAGCCTGGTACTCAAATGAAAAATGCCATTAATAAACACGTTAATATAGATGAAATATACCAACTAATAAAAAGTAAATCAGGTGATCAGAAAGTTTAAAATCCCAATCGATAGAAAACGGTCAATACATACCTAAAGATGGTTACCCTGAGACTCATGAAGAAATTTAAATCATTTCACTTTATCCTAAATACTGCGCTGAAGATGTCGTCCAGAAAGACGATGAAAGCTCTGCAATTAAACCAAGGAGCTCAGAGAACATTATCAATTGCAAATCATCCACCTGAGTTACAAATCATTTCTATTATTGCGTAACGTTTTCATTTTATTCGGCTTGTCTACTAATCCTATAATTGCACACCCTTTTTCAAGTTCTACCCATCCTATGAATTGTTCTATAGATGACATTAATTGTTTTGCCACTTGACATTTCACTACGATTATAATCACAAACATTTTAGTTTTTAATTGCATTTCATACTATTATTATTATTTTATGCATTCACACCTATGATTAAATTTCCTCACCGGATATAACTTCGTAAAAACCATGTATATACGATTGTACAACCTCGCCAGATACTAGCTTGCTAGGCTACTAGCTTACTAGTTTTCTCGCCGGTGTCAGGCCCGGGTAAAGAGGGAGGGTTGAGACGTGGTGCTAGCAACTCCACTCCTGTGAAACAACCAAATCGCTACAGAAACTTCAACGAATAAATATATTAAAAATTCTAAAACATAAGCAATAGCCTTACTTTTTGCTGGAATTGGGGAAGTGAAATGACGCGGGCTGGTGAAAGCCCTCGGGAAGCCAGTCAGCCGATGTGCTTTCTTTCGATGAAAGCAAAAGTAAGGATGGGTACCTGGAATGTTCGTACAATGTACGAAACTGGAAAGGCTGCTCAGATAGCCGCTGAAATGAGAAGATATGGAATAGAAGTGTTGGGAATCTGTGAAAGCAGATGGGACGGATGTGGAAGGTGCCGACTACCAACTGGAGAGACAGTAATCTAATCCTGGCCGCCCCCAGAGGACAACTACGAACACACCGAGGGAGTGGTTATCATGATGTCACCAACAGCAGCCAAAGCTCTCATGCAGTGGGGACCAATCTCCTCCAGGATAATGACAGCCAGGTTCAACTCAAAAGGAAGGAAGAAAGTTACAGTCATTCAATGTCAATGCTATGCGCCTGCAAACGTCTCAGAACAAGAGAAAAAGGAGGCGTTCTACAGACAACTACAAGCAATAATGGACAACGTCCCAAATGACGATATCAAAATCCTGATGGGTGATATGAATGCGAAGCTGGGAGGAGACTACACAGGGAGAGAACTCACCATGGGTCGTGAGGCCCTCGGCGAAATGAACGACAATGGTGAACTCTTCTCAGACTTCTGCGCATTCAATGATTTGGTGATTGGCGGTAGTGTGTTCAAACACAAGGATATACACAAGAAGACATGGATTTCACCAGATGGAAACACCAAGAACCAAATAGACTTCATCTCAATTTCAAGAAAGTGGAGACGGAGCCTACTGGACACAAGGTCAAGGAGAGGACCAGATGTGGGTTCAGACCACTATCTAGTACAAGGGACTTTCAAGGTGGAGCTAAAAGCCTCGAGGATAGCTGGGGATAGGCCACAATGCAGGTTCAACACTCAATTACTGAAGGACACAACCACAAAAGACACTTTTACTGCAACTGTCAGAGCAAAGCAGGAAACACTACGCGACATCACTGAAGAATCATGCGTGGAAGAACATTGGAAGTCTCTGAAGGCGATTCTCAACGAAACGTGTTCAACGGTTCTAGGAAGAAAGAAGAGACAAGACAAGGAATGGCTCTCAACGGACACTTGGAAATTAATAGAAGAGAGGAGAATGGTGAAAGAGAAAATGATTCAATGCAAGGACGGACAAGAGAAGGAGACGATGAGCTCAACTTACAAAGCACTGGACAAAGAAGTGAAGAAGAGTGCTAGGAGGGACAAAAGACGATTCTACGACAACCTGGTCACTGAAGCTGAGAAGGCATCAGGCAAAAGGGACCTGAGGACACTATATCAGATAACCAAATCTCTATCCGGGAAGAGGCCAACACAAGCGAAACCTATAGAAGACAGCCAAGTGAACTCAATTAACAAGGAAGAAAAACATGCACACATGCAACACATGCAACAAAAATGACTCAATGCAAATACCAGAGATATGGAAGATATTATTACTGCTGGTCAAATCAGAAGAGGGTAATAAATAATATTAAAATTCTATTTCAATTCAAGCACATCACAACATCCTAACAAAAAACTTATTATGACTATTAAAACACTCGTCGTATCTTCCATCTGATTATAGTAGATCAATAACACTCGTATTAATGCCATCAGTCAAACCAGAAGAAGATAATAAATAATCTTAAAATTCTATTTCAATTCAAACACATTCTAACAAGCAGCTTATTATGACTGTAAAAACACTCGTCCAATTTTCCCATCTAATTGCAATTGATCAACAACACTCGTACGATTATTTCTGAATGTACATTATCTCACATTGATTTTTAATCCAATATCTAATCCATTCCACATATGTATATAAATGAGAGATCAAAGTTGTGCGAGTAACTTGATATGATTATGAGCAATAGTTTGTGCTCGAAACGTCATCAGTTCATATAACTGTAAACACTGTGCGATTTATCAAAATAAAATCTTATCTATAATGGAATTATACTCTACCACAGTGCCCAAGTTTTATACTTATATCAAGGAAGAAAAACAGATTAAACAATGGGCGGATCACTTCAGAGGACTCTTGAACCGACCATCACCTGCAACCCGTCCAGAAATACCAACAACGGCGCCCACACAACTGCAAGTTGACACCAATCCTCCAACGAGAGCTGAAGTCTTGAATGCAATCAAGCTTCTGAAAGCTGGAAAAGCAGCCGGACCAGATGGAATACCCCCTGAAGCACTGAAAGCAAACCCAGAGACGACAGCAGACATGCTGACTCCATTACTGCAAAAGGTCTGGAAGGAGGGAAAGGTGCCTACTGACTGGAGGGAAGGTCACCTCGTGAAACTATCGAAGAAGGGAGACTTAGGACTCTGCAAAAACTGGCGAGGAATCATGTTTATGTCGACGCCAAGTAAAATCCTGAGTCGCATCATCCTGGAGAGATTAAAGGACGCACTGGAGACAGATCTCCGACCAGAACAAGCTGGCTGGATTCAGGAAAGGCAAATCATATACTGACCAAATTGCAACTCTACGCATCATCATCGAACAAAGCATGGAATGGCGTTCAAACCTCTACCTCAGCTTTATAGACTTTGAGAAGGCCTTCGACAGCGTTGATCGTGAAGTAATTTGGAAATTACTCGAGTACTATGGCGTACCCCAAACATTCATCAACCTTATCCAACAGCTGTACGACAACGGAACATGTCAAGTGATCCACAACGGAAAACCCAGTGAGGCGTTTGGAGTAAACACAGGAGTCAGACAAGGGTGCTTACTATCGCCAATGATATTCCTAATTGTGGTGGACTGGATTATGCGTCAGACAGTGGGAAACGAGAAGACAGGAATATCCTGGACCGACGTGAAGAACCTAGAAGACCTGGATTTCGCGCGTGGATGATTTGTGTTTGATGTCACACACAATCGAAGACTTACAAGCGAAAACCGACAAACTGGTCGAAGAAGCAGCAAAGACAGGACTCCAGGTAAACATAGACAAGACGGAGGTTATGAAAATAACCAACCAACAACAGCAACAACATCCAACGCCAATCACCATCAACGGGAGGGATTTGAAAGAGGTTACTTCATTCACTTATCTAGGGAGCATTGTCTCAACTACGGGAGGAGCGGACGAGGATGTCAAATCGAGAATCGGGAAGGCAGGCGAGAAACACATTCATCAACCTGAAATCAATCTGGAAATCTTCGTCACTCAGCCAGCATCAACAATAAAATTCGGTCGGATTTTCAATACAAACGTAAAGTCAGTTCTTCTATACGGATCAGAAACTTGGCGGGTGGGCGGGTCACAAAGAATATTTCCAAAAGGCTGCAGACCTTTATTAACAACTGTCTTCGCTGGATCTATACTGAAGATCAGATGGCTGGGCCGGAAAGAATCACCAACAAGGAATTATGGGAACAAACAAAGAAAGAACCAATCGCCCAACAAATATGCAGGAGAAAGTAGAGATGGATCGGACACTCGCTGAGGAGACCGCTGGGTGACATCGCGCCTCAAGCCCTCGAGTGTAACCAGGCCGAAAGGGAAGCGGCGAGTGGGATATCGGTGAAAGGGTGACATGGAGGAGATCGTGTGAAGAGGGGTTGAAAGAATATGGACTAACATGGATGCAGGCGAAAAGTACAGCAGAGGACAGAAGAAAATGGAGACGTGCAGTTGAAGCCTTATGTTCCACTAGGAACCCAAGGGAGCAACAATAATAATACGATTGTACAGCTTGATGATGAATTCGTTGAAAAGTTTCTTCGCTGAATCACTTGTTTTGATTTTTTACAAAGAAGAACAACTTGAACAGTTGAAATGCAACAAAGATGTAGTATTAAAATATCTTGACAAGAGTCCTTATATAGTTATCTTGAATCGTAAAGACTACACCGTGACAAATTCTCCGAATCTTCCAATGAAAGTTGCAGAAGAGAAAGTAGCTAAGTTTTGAAAACAATGAAGAATAATCACTTGACCAGGAAAGAATTTCAAAAAAGGATTAGACCAGCATGGTGCCTAATACTAATAAAGTCTTACGATATGCTGAAAATAGGCAAAATCTTCAATATGTTGATAAATGACACACATATTTATCTTCAAGTATGTAGAACCATACCTACCTGTAAACTGGATTTAGGGATATGTTCTTCAGCATCAATTTCTTCTGAATTCATGCATTCAGAACGACTCGGTACCATTAGAACAACATCATCTGTTGGTGCTATAATGATAATATGTTCGAAAAAAGTGAATTAACACATCAGTTTTAATATTATGAACAAATATAATCGATCTAATCGATTTAAAAACTTGCATATATCTTAATTATGTGTTTTTTTGTAAATCTTAAGATAAAGACTATTATGAAACAAGGATTGAAACGATTCGACCTGGATGAGAGTTCTTTTCATACTACTAAATAATATATATGCTGTGAAATACCTGTAGTATTATTATTTTCTTTGGTTCCAAATGGAGCATAGGGATTCATCAACACATCAATTCATCCTATTTTCTGCTGTCTTTTTCGGCCGTGTCCTGGATTGACCGTAATCTCTCATCTCCTCAATGTCATCTTCTCACTGCCAACCCACTCGTCGCTTCCTAGTGGGATGTGCTTGGATTCCATTCGAGGGATGGCCTGGCTCGCGATGTCGTTCGACAAACTCCTCAACATGTACTCCACCTGTTTCCATTTTCTCCTACATATTTGTTGAGCAATCGGCTCTTTGTTGGTTTATTACCAGCCAGAGTTTCATGATGCTAATTCTTTTTGATCGACCGGCAAGGCCATTTGATCTTCACTATAAGGCCAGTGAAGGCAGCTGCTGATAAAAGTCTGTGACTTGTTAGAAATCCTAGATGTCGTGGATTTCGTGAAGGAAACAAAGCAGATATATCATAATGGAATTGTTTGTGCCTTAGCTAGGGGAGCATAGTGTCACAGTATATCCTGTCAATTAGTATTTTACTTGAAGATATTGTACGAAGGCAAAATATTATGCAATAGACTCTTCTGAAAATTCTGTACATTTTATAAATACTGTCTAGAATAAAGATGTTATTATTCTAAGACAACTGATCACTACGCCTAATGATCTGTCAGGAGAACTGGAAAAAATTGACACCTACACACACACACTATTCTTCTATGGTGAGTAAGTTAGTGTAGTTCCATAGTTAAAATATAAGTGCTTCAATGAGGTAGATTATGCAATCTTTCATTGTTTCACACTTTTCATAAAAGAGTAACACTCTTTCGTTGGAAGATTAGTTTAGTTCTCGTCTAACATGGAATATCACTTCATAAGTAAATAACAGAAACTGTGAAATCTAAAGGTGTTGATGTTAAGGCTAAACAAATAGATCCAAGAAATATGACAGTAGCGAGAACAGTGATGTATCCGAAATATGATCATTTTGATCCTTCCCGACATTTACACAGGATGCGGAGAAAATAGTTACTTTTGCCATGATCCAAGTTACTTCCAGATAATGACAGTTGAAACAGATATGACCTAGAGATACCCAGTGATAAATCTTATTCTGAAACAATATTAAACTGTTATACAATCACAGAATTGATTCAAAGTGTATTTATTACCTGCTGGGTTTTAGAAGTCAGTCAATACAAAGATTTTTTTTCCCTTGAGTTTCACTGTTGACACATATCAACATAAAATATTTATCGTCTTAAGAAAATTGATGCTGTTCTGAGAAAATTAAACATGCATCATGTACTTGTGAGGTTATAGACTTTAATAGCAAGATATGTAGACCTCTTGAATCTAAACTCTAGAAAAAAGGGAACTGCAGTGCACACATCCATTGTATTCAGTCTAGCTTAGTAACTAAACTTTATATCTAGTCGACAGATTTTAAATATGTAACTGAAAGTTAAACATTGATATTGTTTTCAAGAATTAGTTTTTAGGCATTCTATTTGTTTCAGCTTTGACTAAGGATTGACAGCAGTTAGAGAACCATTGAAAACCAACCAGAGAGTACTGAACAACTGTTTGGTCCTAGCCTGGGACTCATCGGCAGTACGTACTCACTAACAATGGGTTTTGAACCTAGGACCTTCTGGTTACAAGACAAGCTCTTAGACCATTGACCCACTAGGACTAGATTCAATGGCTGACCCATGAATTCCAAATTCTACCAGTTATTGAGATTTAGTGATAAATTTGCGAATAGTCTAAAAACTTAATACAAACGTTGATAATAATACTGTAGATAATACTTAATTAATAATTTATTATGCAGTAACTTACTATTCTCGGTTTCACTGGAATTTTCAAGCATTTATAAAAAGAAAGACACAGAAAAAATATTTTTAGGAAAAGAACATAAATTATAAAGGACATTTTGAACAATAAGAAATATATATTTAAAAAAAAAATAAGTAATGCTTCATTATATTACTGCGTTCAGTTCACTTAGCGTATTTTATGTCTGGTGGGTAAAATGCATTGTGAGACTGTCATTTTTAAAATTTAGTGAAATAGAAAATTCTTAGTGACCTGTCTAAATTACTAAGCTAGGATATCTTCTCTATCCATCAAACATTTTAATTGGTTGGAAGCAATCATCAGAAAGTCTTAGACCTAGGTTCCCTGGCTCATTGACACTCAGCAAAACTTGAGGGAACTTATGTCCCATGTCCCATTCAAACCCGTGGCACCCGATGATGTAGTCTCAGACGTTACCGTTGAGCTTTTTGGGCTAGTGATCTTCTTCTTATAGGAGACTGGAAGGGTACCTTCATTGGACAATACTAGGTAATAACTAATGTCACGTGTTTTCAAAGACAACGGAACAAAAGTATAATAGATAATTCGAGAGTGCTTTGGATAAAACAATATTGCTTCAAATACCCTATTATCGATTATTAATTTACTTGAAGAGTCTATCCAAGGAGTAATTCCTTTGCAACATAACATGCTAAGAATTCTTATATTATGTATTTTCAGAATAAAACTATGGTAATAGTAATTATTATTATTATCATTATTAGCACGTCATATCTCTCACATTGTTTAAGTTAACTCACGCAATCTAACAGTGTCTTTCATTCATAAGTTTTCCTAATTCATATGTTTTCAAAAATTAACATTTTATTTCAGAATAAATGCTTTAAATTCACTGATCTGAATACTGGATAACTTAAACAATTATCATGAGTTTAAACTCCACTCCAAGATTTATTCTGCCAAATAGTGTTACGTATCCATGAGTACACCACCTTTTCTATTTCTATGCGTATGATAATTCTGGTAGTTGGTGCTACTGATAAGATTTATTAGTATTTATTTTTTATTTTTGCTAACAGCTTGATTCCACACTATTTTTGGTACAAGTATGGAATTTTCAGCTTGGATATCGGTAGCCCAAATTTCGCAGGCTGACCATAGATATCTGGTGTGCGCCGGTGTGGGCTCGAACCCCGGACCATCTGCATGGTCGTCGAGAGTCCTAACCATTGTGCCACCGACGCAAGAGACATTCATCGGTCTAACAAACATCAGATAGCAAGAAGATACATTTGATGTCAGAGAAATCAAATGATACAGCCTTCCGGAGATACAAAGGGAGATGTTAAAGGAACACAAAGAAACACAACATGAAGGCCAGGAGTAGGACAACACAGAAGATCTGTGCAAATGTTGAATTAAAGGTGCACATGATATTGCTATATAGAGATACTGAGTCTCTTGTCTTCTGACGTTATAATATTAGCTTAATATATTCGCAGTACTGATTTACAAGGGAGAGGACAGTTCTTTTTGTTGTAATTTAGAGTTGTTTAGTTAGTCTGTGAGAAGTGCTGAGTGCGAATTTGACAGTGATGTAAACATCAGACAAAAACCCAAACATCTATGCGTAAGCTTCTTGACAAACTGTTCAGATTCACTAGTTTCAAACAAGGTAATTCTTGTGAGGTGGTTGGAAGCAGTCAACAGGGAACCTTGAACCCTCTGCTTGGTGCTAGTTGGCATATCTGCAATCATGAAGGAACTTATATCTCGCCTGAGATTAGAACCTGCGTCATCGAATTCTGTAGACATACTGAATTCTATGGGTCAGTTTTGCAGTGTGACTACCACGCTAGATGACTTGTCATCCTGTTGAACTCTGAATTGTTGTTAGATGGTTGCAGCCAATAAAGTTGCCTTCATGTGATCCCAGTAAAAGTAATTTTCATCTCACCTTCATTCTAATCAGCTGCTTAATCAGAAAATTATTTCAATCTAATCAAAGTTTACACTATTTATAGTACCTATAATTTTCCGTTTGACAAAACTCATGAAACAGATTGGGATTATGAGTACATTTTGTTCACTAAAGAAAAACTCTATTCCAAGTGTTGGTTTGTAGGGATTTTATTGGTTACAGGATTTCATCATGAGCTGACATTGGTTAGAGAACCATTTGGAAAGCTGGGTGTACTGGAGATCTGTTTTATCCTAGTTTTGGACTCTTCGGCAGTACGTGCCCACAGGGGTTCGTACACAGGACCTTCTGGTTACAAGGCGAGCCAGCTCGTAGACCATTTTGCCACTCTATTTATTCTTCAAACCAAAGTCACATCATTTTATTGATTAGGCGTTCACTTATGACCTTTGTATGTGACTGAATTACAAGTTATTTTGTACAACGATCTACTGGAATCATTTAAAGTTATTATGTGGATAATTTATACTAGATGATGCAAAGCCTAGTGTTAAGTCTGATTTCTTATTGGTAAACTCGATAAGCTACTTTTAGCTTTTCACATTTTAACTTTTGAATAGAATTGAATACTACTCTACCCTTACAGACCACCTATCCAAAGAATGCGTACACAAATTCGACTAGGACCATGAACATCGGGTATAACAGTGTTCGAGTTAAAATGCAGTCATGTTAACTTTGCAGTTTCTGTATATTTGTGAAACCGTGTGATCACTGTCTATCGTCAACTTTGGTTTCCTGTAGTCTTCTGGATTATGTTATTCTATGACAAAAGTACTTCAGAGTGAACTAATCCTTCTCGAGATTTCTCACGTTTTACTGAGGACATGGGTAAACAGACAGGCTCCTTAAACTTACAAATTACTTATTAATACTACACAATTGTGAATTATAATTAATTCTTACTTTATCTCTCTTTGAGCAACTAATTCCACTTGTATTTCATCTTTTGACTGATAAATAATTTGTGAGACTTCATCAGCACTTAGTCCACGAAGTGATTGTCCATTCCATTCTAATATTTCATCACCAGGTCTTAAATGTCCAACAACGTCTGCTGGACTACCTGGTTTAATTTGCGTAACAAATGCACAAAGACGTCTAGATCGATCAAGTCGACCACCAGCTAACTTAAGACCTAAATCAAAGAATAAACAAAGTTAAGAATGATAAAAATTATTGTAGAACTGAAATTTTGTAAGTGGAAATACATCTTATGTTTTCTAATTATAAATCATGCGTAACAAAGATCAATTTTCATAACTTCATAGTATTATGAAAACATTAGTTATATGACAAGCAATGAAGCTATATTCAATCTGTTTTAAGGTGGATTTATTTGGGATTCTGTACTGCTTGGTGGAGACGACATCGGAGAGTTTCATTAGTTTCGACCCTTTTACAAGATGCAAACAAATTGATTTTTCATACTTAGGCTATGATTATGTTGTATGCTACCTTCTATTTTAACAGAGTCCTTAGTATTTGTCGACCAAGAGTGAATTACTATAAACAGTAAGAAATCTGTGGTTCGAACCATGGGGAGTGCGATTCAGCATAAATAAATAACTATTTAGGAAAAATGAGTGAAAAGGCTGTTAAGACTATATTATATATTTAGTAAAAGAGAAATAAAGCACTTTAGTCCCCAGGACTTCTTAACTGGGTATATTCTTTAGTACCTGATGAACGTGCATAAATGAAAACTTGAGTAAACACAAAGAAGCGACCCCCTTCTTTGCCGTGGTCGTTTGCATAATATTTATGTATATATAAAGTCTTACAAATGATTTTCCCCTATCCTTGTAATTATCATTTAACTTTTTTGTTTTATCTTGTCATTTATTGTGGTTACTATGCTTGCTGGTACTACTAACGTATTTGTATTTTGGTATTCTTATTTATTTATTTTATTCCTTCACGTTCCCTAAGGAACATAGGGCTTCAAATTAGAGCTCTGAGGCTCCGGTAGCAGTGGTGTTTTTGTTATTTTTACGGTATGGGGTTACTAGCCTCATGCGCGACCTTCCAACTTTACCCGTCTTATTACTGGCTTAGCGACGTTTAGGAGTGTATCTACCGGGGATTGAACCCTAGGCCACATGCGTGGTTGGCGAGGATTCTACTAATAAGCCACCTACGGACGTAGAGCCAGTTATGAGGAGTTAATTTACAGCAATTATTTCTGCGCTCAATTTGTTACCTTTTCTGAATGTGTAAATAGGGATTTTAAACAAAAGCAGATTTGTATTTATACATGATTAAACACTATCAGGTGCATACCTAATACAGATCCTGGTTCACCAAACTGAGGATCAGATTTCTTTCGAAGTATCATATGACCAATTAAACGTCTACCGTCTTCTGAAACATTCCATGTGACTGGATGTGACTAAAATTCAAAAAGAAAGAGAAAAATAATGTTTAAAAGAAGAAATCAACGTTACGGTACCTGAAATTAACGTTAAAAATTGATTTTTCAGATATAAATTCATTAAAAAACTTGCTGCATAATAAGCAATTTGTTTTTATTTGTTTACTATTACAAGTGTACAATTTAATGTAATGATAACAACAACCAGCATAATACACCGTTGCGATTTCTACGCTAGAGTAACACTCACTCACCAAATGGCTATCATATTCTGTAACTAAGATATTACTTCCTTTCCACATGTTGAATAACTTTATCAGTATTCAAATAAAAACATTTTACACTTGCAACCATTTCATTATATCACTTAACGAAACGGAAACTAATCTGATTTTACATTCTCGATAGCGTTCTTTTCAAAAATGGATTTGTCTCACACTTGGTTATTATGACAATGACAAGAGATTTGTTTTTGTAACTACAAGAATCTAAAGGCAGCTTATTGAAATAAAGCTTCTTCTTCCGAATCAACTTTCAATGATTGAAATAGACGAGTCATAGAGGTTGCAAATTGGGTATCAAATGACATAAACACCAATATCTAAAGCAACCTTAGTTTTTTACACCTTAATTTTTTCATTAGACATCATCGAATACGAAACCTAGGTCTTACACGGTTTTCTGCCGATTAATTCACCATATTTAACTCCCGGTTATTACTAAATATATGCCTGACGCTACGAACTACTGATTGGCTGAAATGAGTAGTTGGTTGTCAATCATGTAAATCAACTGAGTTGATTCAAACTGGCCGATGAGCTTGGCTTTAAACAGCAGAAACAGCCATCCGATGTTTGGATGATTTCGATGTGGTTAGCAAGCACCACTGACTGAGTGGTACTCATTGCTTATACCAATTAGTCAACTGTTATAGTGTTTTGCACTTATATCCGCTTTGGTCGCAGGATTTCATCATGAGCTAATACCAATTAGAGAACCATTATAAAACCTGCAGGGAGTACTGGACAGCTGTTTCGTCCTAGTTTGGGACTCCTCACAGTACGTATTCACTGGGGTTCGGACCTTCTGGTTACAAGGCTGGCTCGTAAACCGTTTCGCCACTGGGATCCAATTCAATAGCCTGTGAATCTCAACTTCTGTCAATTCACTACATAGCACAACCACTAAACAACGTCTACGAGCTTGCCTTGGAATCAGATGGTCCTGAGTTTGAAACTCGCTGGGTGTGCACTGATTAAGAGTCTCAGGCAAATACGAAACAGCTATGTAGTACCCCCTGCATGTTTTACAGTGGTTCTCTAACCGATGTCAGCTCATGATGAAATCCTGTAACCAATCAACTAGATCCCAACAAACCAGTACTTGAATATGTGCGCTTTCTCGGTTGCCATTTATATAGTATCCATCAGGTTATTTATCGAGATCTAAATGATTCCAGTTTCCATTAAAAACTATGGTGAAATCTCGCCTTCTTGAACTGTGTAAATCGCAAATTTCGAATTGGATTCAAGGTGAAATTTCCTTATCATAATCATGGGGGATTTAAAAAAAGGAGTATGAACGAGTAAACTTCAAGTTGTTTAGGAATGAAGAAAGGAAATAATCATTGGCTCTCCTGGTATTTGTTGTCTTTGTATGGGATCTCAGTCGTTATTTACGATAAAATGAAAATCAGCTATCGATGTTTTACTTAAGGGGAAGTTTTTTGGATGATTTACGTATCTAATTGAAATCAAGTAGAAGAAATAAATGAAAATTTATGATTGAAAACTTCACAATATCTAGGCGCGATTATCATATTATGGATATTTCAACTTCACTTAATCATTCATAAATCTAAGTAATGGCATACTTTTCCGTTTTCTTGATTTCTAACTACTAATTTCAACGAATTAGCAATATATTTTATCTGATTACAAATGGTCATTAAGATTTTTTCAAAAGAATGATTACTAAACAAAAAATATTCCTTTCAATAAGCTATTCTTCATGAAGTTCTATAGTTATATACACATAGTAGTGAATGAATCAGTGTTATTAACAACATTAATGTTGATTAAATAACATCGAATTAATAATAATATGAATGGATTACAGTTCAATAGCATCAATATAACAATACACTGAATATCAGAATAATTAGGAAAGATAATAATACAAATTCATGAATTTATAGTCTCCACCGAGAGCCAGGGCAATAACAGTGGTTGAATCTGTTTCTTCTGAATACAGAGCACCAGTTATCTCAGGTGAATCGTGATAGCCTCTGCTGTTTGAAGTATGCGGTAGCTCGATGCTTTTGGTAATTTATTTGGTACCTGATAGATTATGGAGAGGGACTCTTCAGTATTAACTTTGTGGCCTGTTTAGACCAAGTGATCTAACATCAAACTGTTGGTGTTTTTTACTACGCCTTTATTTAACTACACATGTATATGTTCCCAGATGAGCATGAAAAATAAAGTTCTTGGAGAAAAAGCCAATATAACTCGCTCGACCACAAGTGCAGTTGAATTGGCAGATACAGATGGAAGTGGCTAGTCTAGGTACTTCATCTTTCAATTGAGAAATCACCAACGGTCATGTATAGAATAAGACGTGTAGTTCGCCAGCGTTAAAAGTTCTTTGAATCGATTTTCTTAATTTGTTAGCAATTATTTCACTAGATGCGTCACCCTTGAACTGCAGTCGTATATACAAAGGTTTCTTATTTACAGATGGAAAATAGTCCGTTTCCCCTTTCTTTGTCATGGGTTTCCCGATAAACTTGTCAGGGTAGCTATTTTCAAACAAGGTATCACATAAAATCCTTAGTTGATCCTCAATTACCTCTTCTGAGCAAACAGCTCTACCCCTGTGGCTGAGGGTCCTTACTAAATTGCTTTTCTACTGGAGAGGAACGAAGCTATGAAAAGTGTAGATTGTCCTATCCATATGTTTTCCCTATGCAAATTTTTCTTTATACAACCATCTGGTTTTCTTGTAAGGAGAACATCTAGGAAAGCAATTATATTTTGAGATTCCTCTTCGCACGTGAATTTCATAGCAGGAATCAGTTACCATTGTGTTCCTATCCAAATCATTATCACAAAGAATAAAGGTGTAATCCACATGATATCCAGTGTATTGTTATACTGATGCTGTTTATTTGTAATCCATTGATATTATAATTATTGATTCGATGTTATTTAATCAACATTAATGTTGCTAATAACACTAATTCATTCACTTACTATTATGTACATATAACTTCAGAACCTGATGAAGAAGAAGTTATCGAAAGGAATATTATTTATTCCATAATCATTCTTTTGAAAAAAATATATTTTGAATTAATTTCTGAATACTGTTTCAATGATTTGAGCAGTTTGAAGTAAGTTTCGTAACCTGAAAATCCCAGGTTGGATCCTTGCTGTCGAAGTTATAGGTGAGTACTACTAAAGAGTCTCGAAAAAGGATGAAATGTCTCCAATACTCCTTGATTTTCAGTCATCCTCTAAATGAAGTGATTTCATGAAAAAACCACCTTACATAAGTCGATTTCATAAATGTTGAGAGGAATTCCATTGAAATTGATGTTTATTTAAGGGGGTTTATTAAATCCCTCCATATAAATAAATTCTAACAGTTACAATTTTCAAATAAGACTTTTCTAAGGTATTAAAATGAATTTAACGCAATTGTTAGATAAATCTACATTTTATTGATGACTGACTGTGCTTTTTATCATCCATTTTAGGCAACAAAACAGTCAGTTCTTCTAAAAGGACAGATTGGTGTATTTCAAGCGGTATAATTCTGTTCTAAGCTCATGGACTACATTTAACCAATTACTGAAACATAAAATACCAATATTTCAAATAGTTTTAAAATGATTGTCAACCAGACTAAGGAATGAAACTGTTGCTGACAATTTAGAGCTCGTATACCATTAAGCCACTGGGGACCCGATCCAATGGTCCTTGAATTCTAACTTCTGCCAATTCACGACATAGCGCGACCACTAGCCTTGTAACCCGAAGGTCCTTGGTTCGAATCCCGGTGGGTGCGTACTGCTGAAGAGTCCCAAACTTGGACGAAACAACTATCCAGTACTCCCAGGTTTTCCAATGGTTCTCTAACTAATGTCAGCTCATGATGAAATCCTGAAACAAAACAATATGCTTTTTGAATGTTCACAGGCTAACATTAATAATAATAATTTTTCCTTCATGTTCCCAGTGAAACATAGGGCTCCAAGCTAGAGGCTTGAAGTTTCTGTGGCAGTGTTTAGTTTTAACAGGATGGGGTTGCTAGCCTCATGCACAACCTTTCCTCTTTACCAGCGTTATTTCTGGCCTAGCGAGGTAAAGGAATGGGTCGGCCAGGGGTCGAACCCCGGACCATGTGAATGGTCGGCGAGCGTCCTAACCGCTGTGCCACCGACGCACTACAGGCTAACATTAATTTCCCTTTACTCGATGAGAACTTATTTCAGCATAAATATTCTAGAAGTCGCAAATACTCCTGCTGGCGGTCATAGAAAGTCTTCTACTAATTACAAACAGAGGAGATGTGTGTCGGGAGTGAGGACAGATGCTGGCCGATGACAGTGGCTGGTTGTCAGGCTACAATCACGAATTGGTAGAAGTTAGAATTCATGGCCCATTCATTCGGGTCTCAGTGGTTTAATGGTCTACGAGCTTGTCTTGTGACTGGAAGGTTCTAGGTTCCAAACCCGATGAGTCCCACACCTGGACGAACCATTATTTATATTATTATTATATCCTTTAGTTCCTAGAGGAACATAGGGCTTCATCTGAGCACCTCCATTGCCTTCTGTTTTCTGCCAACTTTTTCACGCCGCTCCAAGTCTGTCCACATGCTTTCTGGACGAACCAGCTGTCCACTAATCTGTTGGTTTTCAATAGTTCTCTAATTGATATCAATCAGCGGTCAAACTTGAAAGGATGTATTTTTATTTATAACATTTGACTAAACTTTAGTTAATGACCAGTACCCTTACTATAATACTGTTAAATAAAAAACAACAAAATATCAGATATGGTTCGTTTCATAAGTTTTAATAAAGAATGAAAGACCAGATTTGCAGTACAAAATGATATCATTCCATTTCACAGGTTCTCATCATCTGTAAACTATCTGAAATTACAATAGAGAAGCAGTATCACAAAAGATTGACAAGAGAATGAAAGTAGCAACGAAAAGATGCTTCCCTGCAGCTAAGCTCGTAACACTACACAAAACATCACATGCTCAATAAGCCAATTCGAACTAGATAAGTAACCTACTGATGTCACCTCTAACCGCGTTTATCAATTTACGTGCACTTGTGGGAGCTAGTAAATTGGAAGGACAGAAATATGCGCATCTATCTGGTTTTCAGAGCATATCCCAACAAATTTATGTGTAAAGGAAACCAGATATTCACAAAGTTATCAAATTGCCAAACACCTTGTGGATATGGGTCATTTCATCGAGATTTCTAAATCTTTCAAAATATAAAGCATATAATGGACAACTAATTTACTACGATCTCCTGAAGCGATTGCAATCAAACGTACCAAACCAAGCCTATGCATGCAGAAAGAGAGTGTAATTAATCTCTCACTACTTTGGTAATTGCATTTGGAATACATTGATTAGTCATCCATATTAATGATTTCAACTCTCTGAGCAAATTTTCAACTGCGAGTTCCTATGTAAACCTACATGCTAACACTGTTTATTAAATTTTTCTTTTTTCTATCTTCTCCACAACCCCTCCTTTTCTGTTTTGAAAGCATATAAATTGACGGTAACTTAAACTTAAATTGTACTGCTGCCTATATTTCGGATGCATTGATTTTATAATGTTTTCTCTGCTACCATTCAAACGTTGAAGTATGTTATTTTCATTATCTTTTTTTTTTAACCATTGTAATTTCAGGTGGTTTGCAGGTGATGAGAACCTGTGAAATAGAATGATATCATTTTATACTATAAATCTAATCTTTCTTTCTTTATCGAAACAAAATATTACAGTGATGATTGTTCAATCAACTTAACTAATTTATCATTTTTCAATCTACTTGATAACAAAAAGTAACTTACTGATGAACCTTTCGGTAATCTCCTTGTTGTAACAATTGTTCCATCTTCATGGTTGTATCGTACACCTATTATTGTAGAAAAAAAATGGAGAAAATATAAAAAAAATGCATTTTCTTGTTAATATCCTCCAGACAGCATATTATATTGGTATTAGATAGTTGGAAGCAATTGGCAGGAAGTCTTACTTGACCTAGGTTCCATGCTAGTTAGCACTCATACCGGTCAGTCAGCAAGGCGTATCTGCTATCCTGAAGGAACCTATGCCCCTTCTGTGATTCAAACCCGCGTCACTTAGTCAGCAATTCAGTCGGAGAAGGACACATACATAAGTAGAGCCAGTATAATGTTCCAATTTCATCAAAAAGAATACATTCCTACAGAGTTGTTAAGTCCCATAAAAAATCCAAATGTACTCAGTCTGAATGAAAATTCAGTATCATCCACTGCAAAGGATTTATTCATTTCTGGTCACAAAGAATCAATACTACTGATTGTTTCTCAAATGACTAATTTTTGAATAGTGAAATTTGACTTTTAAATATATTGGAGGATTTCATCATGAACTAACTCAGTTAGAGAACCATTGGAAAACCTGCAGGGAGTACTAGACAGCAGTTTCGTTAGCCTAGTTCGAGACTCTTCATCAGTACGCACCTACACTGCGGGACTTGAACCCAGGAACTTCTGATTGCAAGGCTAGCTTGTAGACACTTAAGCCACTGAGATCGATATCTGCTCATGATGAAATCCTCCAACCAATCAAACAAAATCCCTTCAAGCCAATACTTGAAAAGTGACCTGATACTCACTAGTGGCTTCCCCTATTCAGGCAGTTAACCTGGGGTTCTAGTGAGAAGCCATGACCAGTATGGCAAAGCACGTCGGGTGTGAGGACAAATACTCGCCGAGGACATTGGCCAGCGGTCGTGAACTGGCAGGAGTTGGAATTCATGGGAAGGCCATTGGATTGGGTCCCAGTGGCTGAATGGTCTACGAGCTAGCTCGCCTTGTAACCAGAAAATCCTGGATTCAAACCCGGGCAATGGATGCGTACTGATTAATTGTTCCGAACAATAGACAGTCGCGATTTGTGATAACAAAGATATTATGTTCACTAGTAAAGTGATGAAGAACAGAACATTCCATTAACCTCCGAAGTTTCAGTAGCTTTGGTGTTCTTTTCTAAGAGGTAGGGTTTCTGGCCTCACCATCAATCTCCCATCTTTACGGGGCTTACTGATAACTATGGAACGGGTTTAGGAGTGCACCAGTCAGAAATAGAACTAAAACCACGTTTGTGGATGGCAAACATCCTATTAATGAATCACTGACGCACTCAGAAATTATTGTACCTGTTTTTTATCAATATGTAAGAATGTAAATTGTACGACTTTAAAAGGAGAATTTTCAATCTCAGTGATAAAAATCCACAAGTAGACATAATTAAACAGTTAAAAAATGACGATAAATAAATATTTACACATAAGCTCATCTAGATTATAAAATACGATCAGTATACTTGGGCAAATAAATTATTTACAAAGCAAAATATTACCTCCTTGATATGCTGAATTTTTGTTTTCTGGAAGTCTTCGATGATGTTCAGATTGTGTCTCATAGTCATATGGATATCTTGGTGGTTCATCACACAATGATAAAGCTCGATCTTGATCCCATACATGTGGTTTCAGCTGACTACCATAGTATGGAGTTGTTGAACGTTTACTAATAAAAAATTGACTTGCTGGATCATCATCATCTGTAACTGTCCCTTGAGAATAAGGTGAAGGTTTTCTTTCAAAATTAGTCGGTAATAGTCTACGTCTAGGCTCTTGATATTGTACTGAACCATCATCAACAACACTAAAATCTTCTCCATCAGAACTACTAAATGAAAGATGATGCAACTGATGATGACGAAGTTGATCACGATATCTTGGTGGGATAGCACCATAACGATAATTTTCCCAATTTGGAATATTCCTTTTTTGTGCTAAACATTGTAAAATAAAATTAGAATAGTCAAATTATATAGCTGTGGGAAATTTGTTATCTTCTTAAAAATGAAAAATAACGTAAAAATTTTTTGAAATTCTCAGATAATTGGTAGTAATTGGCAGCTATTAAAGAATGGGTAATCAAAGTCAACGGTTAATGAAATGTTCTTGAGCGACGAATCACATTGTTGTCCTTTCACAAAATGGATGTTGTGCACTAGCTACATTGCAAACTTTACTCTGAGTTGGTTTTCGAGTTTTGTGTGGATAATGTTTCAGTAGGAAGAACGAACGTCTGTATATGGGGAGGAAATTGGACAGTGGAGAATCAGTCCAAGACTTCTCATGGATATGCATTCAGGTGTTGTGATTATCATTCCTGGAGGTTTGTAAGAGACGATTAGGTGTTTATTATACTGATTTTGTAGAAACTTTCTTCTCAAAGTTTAAATTGTACCTAACTAAAATTTTGTTCACATGTCATAATCGACTTTTGAAGTGTTCAGTATCTGAATTTTTTGTACTTAAAGGGGTTGGTGTGGTTGTATACGTTAGTGAGACTGTCCTTACCAGATAGAAAGGCAATCGAAGGAGACAATGAGCAAACTAAGTCTGGGTTTGGAGACTTTATGATACAAGTCTAAAGGATGGCTTTAAAGATAGAGTTCTGAATAGATTTGCCAGTTTTAATACCAATAACGAGTACAACAGTCGGTAATCCAAGAGACAACTACTACTGACGAGCGGAGTGCATATTCCTAATCATCGTCATTCAGATATATTCACCATGAAGTGAACCATTCCTCAGATTTTGTTGACCCAAGAACTGGAACTCACATAGATTCAATCGAATGACTTTTGGGAACATTTGAAAACGGATATAATGATGAAGAATATATTCCCAAAATGCATGAGATATAGAGTCATTCAATCTATTTTATGTACAGGAACTGGTTTCAGAGGTTACTCACCACTCATATGAGTAACTAGGAGAAACTTTGCAGCGTATAAGAGACCTTTAACTGCATTAAACGGTCTCGAACTCGTTATCCGGATGATAAAATCTCTGTTATGAGATCTGGTAATTATTAGTTTGATTCTTTACTTGACCCTCAATATGCACTATCATGTAGAATTTGGCTGAAGAGATGCAGTTCTTCAATACTCCCAATACTTCAACTGTAGTAGAAATTACGCTGAACGAGATAAAGGTTTTCATCTAAGAAAGTACGAAACTGGCCTATCTTTACTGAAATATTTATTGCTTACATCAGTTTAACCGCACTGTTTGTTTTATAAAACCTGTACATATAGCAGAGAATGGAACTTGAAATGAAGACATATTGCATTTGATTCTCTCACTAAATATGCTTTTATGTTAGTGTATAAATATTTTCATTTAAATTGGATATCGAAAGAAAATATACGTTTTGAATTTATCCGCTGTTCACTTTTTTTCAAGTAATCACACGTAATATAAGTGTGGGAAAATTTTGGTAATCCAATGTTTAAGCAGGCCGCCGTTTTAAATTTAACCAAGCCTTATACAAATTTAATCTCAAATAACCTGCGAATAAAGGTATTCGCTAGCTCCTATAAATCCGGAAATTATTATTTTGAGGTACACTGATACGAAGATTTCTAACTTCATTTCGAATTATTGGCAGCCAGCTTAAATTTGGGCTAACGGAAAATCCCATCAATATTTCACAGACATTTTCTGCCATTCACTTTGTTTAAACCTGATAAAATATGACCTTTAATTACGTTTTATACTCTGGCGAGTACTTATTGTGCTTACAACTAGCCGATTTGCAAGTTTCTAGTTATCATGAGAAAAAAACTTAGTTGAATGTTGGAGTGTATTGCGATGCAGGAGATAGTTGTTCTTGGGTTGTGTTCTTGGTTGGCAGAATGGATTCCTGAAACCTTTCTAATCGCCACTCAACCAAGTTACATACATTTACCAAAGAGGACAAAGCAGAGACATTATAATTTCTTGGTATGCACTTCATGTCAGGCAGAAGAGTTTCACATGATCTACTGTTAAATAATATTTCATTTGAAAATCCTGGATGAAGAGAAAGTATCATGCAATAAATTGTGCTGAAAATTTTGTACAATACATAAACGCTGTACATAATCAAGCTATTATTATTGTTATTACCATTAATAGCTTGTTAATCTAAAGCTATCCAATGTCATCTAATCCTTTTAGTTTATGTTGACATGCCAAATTTAATATTTAGAAAGAAAACAACTTTCCAAATATAAAAACAACAAATTGTGAAAGATGGCACCACCATAACTGAGTTTTTTTTCCTTCACGTTCCCAGTGGAACATAGGGCTTCAAGCTAGTGACTTGAAGTTTCTGTAGCACTGTTTAATTTTACATGATGGGGTTGCTAGCCTCATGCTCAACCTTTCCTCTTTATCAGCATTACTTCTGGCTTAGCGAGGTAAAGGAGTGCGTCGGCGGTCGGGTATCGGATCCCGGACCATGTGCATAGTCGGTGAGCGTCCTATCCTCTGTGCCACCGACGCACATAACTGAGTAGTTCAATGATTAAATCCTATCATTTTCAAAGATTAAATCTAAATTAAACGTTTATTAGAAATAGGAATATAGGTATTGCATATTTGACAACCTTTATTATCTTCGAAAAAAAAACAGAACTGGGTGACAACAGTGATTCATTCTACTTTGATAGCCTTATAAGAAATTTATTCACTACGCTGTGATGTAAGTCACGAAGTGAGTCACTTAAAAAAACGGAAGAGTACAAGATACCTGTTTTTCTATCAATTCAAAAGTCTTCATCCGTTCACAATAGTCATTCCATGAAGGAACAGAATCATGACCATGTCATGTCTCTCAATAAACAAGCACATTAACATTTGATGACCGAGTGGTGATTTCATAGCCCATGAATACAGACTTCTGCAACTCTCGAGAATGGTACAGTTGTGCAGTATTCAATCCTTCCATTGATTTCAATTCTTGGAGAAGCTATACATCAGTATTCAATAAATATTGATTTTTATACAAAATTATATATAGCAAAAATATTCATTCAGATATCTATAAAACACAACATAATCGAGCAAAGAATATTCTTTTCAATAAATTCCTCTTCTGGCTCTACAATTATATACATGTTTATATACACAGAATATTCAAGGTTGGTAGTTAATAACAATATTAGTGTTTTTTAAATAATATCGATTTGTAAAGCAAGATCAAACTACCAACCTTGAATATTCTGTGTATATAAACATGTATATAATTGTAGAGCCAGAAGAGGAATTTATTGAAAAGAATATTCTTTGCTTGATTATGTTGTGTTTTATAAAATTATATATGTATTATCAAATGAAATGATAACTTACAACTAAAAGAACTCGATGAATAATTTGGTTTTAAATATGGTGATTGTGAATCAAAGTGTTGATCACTTCTATATCCCATTTCTTGATATCTAGGATAATCATGTGCAGAAGTTCTTCCATAGGATAAACTATGTTTTATACTGCCACCACTTTGACATGGAGAATCTGATGGATCTGAAGTGAATGAATCTCCGGTATACAATGTATCAAGGTAAACATTATTTGGCATTCTTGAATCATATTGATATTGTCTTGGCACTTCTCTGTAAGGATGAAATTCATCTGAGGCATAATAATCACCGGATGTTCTTCTTGATCTTACATGACCATACTCACCAGGAGTATGATCTTGTTTAGAATATCTATCCGCATATCTAAACAAAGAAAAGGTAAATTGTAAGACAAATGTTTTAAATAAATTGAAGGTTTTTTTTATGCATGCACGCTTGTTCAGAACTCAATCTAGTACTCAAACACTTTTGAATTGTTCAACTTCAAATTTCATATTCGACTGTAAAATGATTGAAAGTAAAAAACTTGAATTTACTAATCAAAGAGGATTTATTCTGAAGAAGTGTTTATACATAAATAGGAAAAATACAACTCAGAAATACACACTAACCATTGAAACATTTGACAGAATTTTTTGGAAAATGGAGTTCAATTAACTCTTGTTTTTATACATTTGATAGATATTAAAGTTAGAGAACCATTGGAAAACTTGCAGGGAATACTTGACAGCCGTTTCGTCCTAGTTTGGGACTCTTCATCAGCACACATTCACCGGGACCCGAAGACAAGACCTACTGGATGGTGAAATCCTGTAACCAGTCATACAAAATGGCTACAAAACAATACGTGGAAATATCCCTTTTGTGTGTTGGCTTGATCTCCATAAATTTAAGTATATGCCGAAATTTTATTCTTAACATTCTTCAGGAGAACTGATATAAAAAAGGGGGTAAAATCGTCTTTCCTAGAACACTGAATTTAATTACTTTCTATGTTTTTTCTCTTGACAATAAAATCAAATATGTGACCTTCATTTGTCCTTGCTGTGTACTTTTATTAGTTAATCAATAAATATTTCTTTTTGCTTTACTTGTGGGGAAATTAAGTTATCGTTGAACTTGACTCTTTTTTATTTCATCTTCTCATACCTTTTTTCTCAGGTTTTTCTTCTCTTCAGAGTTTTTTTGATTTTTTTAATGATGTATACTCACATATAACATATATTAAAGGAGGGGAAAGAAAATTTCATTATTATTATTATTTTCTGCATGAATAGACCGCATTGTGTTTGACTACTGAATTGAGTAGAAATAGTAGTATGTAGCTAGGAGTGCATATATAATCTGGAGGATGGTGACTAACAGTGGAATCCTGGATGCACATTTCGACCTATTTTGAACTCGTCAGTTGCATGTGCCTGTATTCTCCAGTGAGTGATGGTGTTTCTACTGAGGCTCGAAGCCACTATCCATAGTCTGAAACGACAAATCATTATCTGCTAGACCACTTTGATCACGAGAGTGTAACGGATATCAGTTATTACATGATTCAGATTGGACTTTCCTTTTGGCTGGCTGAAACCAAGTGGTCAATTGGGTAACGCTTTGGCGTTTCCAATTACGGATAGTGGCTAAGAGCCTCAGTAGGAACACCATCACTCACTGAGAAATGCAGGTAGATGCGGCTGATGAATTCCAAATAGGACAAAATGTGCATCCTGAATTCCACTGTTAGTCACCATCCAAAAGATTTCTTCAGGTTAATTCCTCACATAGTGTTGAAGCATCTACACAAGGGGCTGAAAAGTTAGCAGAGGCCAAGCAATTCGGTCCCATTAACCAACGAAGAAGTTCAAAATGAATTAAATTCATACATAATGATTTGACTCTAAGATATTATTATTTATGCACAGGCTCCTCTTTTGAAAATGATCTGATAAATCACAGTAGTGAACGTGTGTTGTTCAGAGTGTAAACCAGTAATAATAATAATAATACACATAACCGAATTTCTCAGCTTGCTCTCATCTACAGATCATTTGACGGAATTTTCTTCTGTCTGGAACATGCTCAGATTCCCGACTTATTTGTCCCTTCATAACACACCGAGTAGTATATTGACAGACTCTCGAAAATGAATGTGATTAAAGACTGTTCTTCATGGAGATAAATAGGCGGTTAGAACAGAGTATAGCTGAGTATATTTGATGTATTGCGGTCTATAGAAAATTAGGTAGCCAAATGATTTAATTAGCCCGGCGTTACAAATAGTTGTAATGAGCTATTTTCACACCTATGTTTATGTGAAACTTTAGGCATGTTGTCTACTATATTCATCTGACTTTCTCTCTACTTTTTCGTTTCACACATATATCCTAGATGTATTTGCTTCAAATGTCTATAAGCATTTTTACTTATTGGATAGCGAACTACAATTAGCCACAAAACGTGTCCTGAGGTTGTTGACGGCTAGCAGCAGAATTTAGAGATTATTCTTCTTACTAGAGGAGGAGGAGAGGAAAGGAACGCTTGTAGACAGTTATAGTGCCAACTGCAAGTGATTGTAGAAAGCAGGACACAGTGGACGTGAGCCTCTGAAGCTCTGCTTTCCGCTATGAACTTATTAGTTTTGTTTTTAAGCAGTTCAATTCAAATACCTATCTGATGTTCAATAGATATGAAATTACAGAGACTATGAACAGAATCAAGCGTTAATAATATACCAGTATGTCAGAGAAACAGATAGAAAACGTTGATATACAACGGTCCAAGTTGCTTTTCGTCTAGTTAATCCGTCAAGCTAAAACTGTTCACGAACGGAATAAAATGAAAAGAGATAACACTGCTACAAGTTATAGAAAGTATAAAGGCTAGAAAAACAGTAAATAAAAGCCATAAATGTACCACAGTGAGACCAAGGTAAGGGGATAAAATCAGTTCTAGAATATCTGTATTCTGATGAGGACTACACCAGCTGAAGAAAATGCATCCTTGTTCAAGAGTGTTTTCCGAAATTTTACCAATAATGTGCTATTCTTATACTAAGTTCGAACTAATAACTTCAGACTTTATGGGGTGAGGATACTAGATTTTCAGTCCTCTAAAGACCGCCTACATCTTAATACACAAAACAGTTTAGTTTACTGAGAAGACTGAACACCTTAACTCCTATATAGGTTAAGTAGACAGAAAACAACTGAGTTATTGTATGGTACATGTAAAATTTACAACTCATTTTCAGTATTACTCAAACTGGTATATTTAAGGTTATAATTTCCTGAAGTTAATGCCTATGATTTCTTTAGCAAATACTTATGATAAAACAGCTGTTTATAACCTTTATGAAATATATTCATATACAAACTTACGGCCTTTTTTGATCACCATAATACCTAGATTGATCTGGGCCAATGTAAGCTGTTTTATCTGCATCTAAACTATTTGATCGCATTGTAGAATAGGGTTTTGGAAGTACACGTCCTGAACCAGCATTTTGAAGTCTATTTCCACTTGATGCATCTGGGGAGTACGGTAGATTCTGATTTCTGATGTTAACTTGGGGTAATTGTCTGAAGAAAAGTAAATAAAAACCATGTAGATATAAATCAGATCAGGTTGATTAGTTTCTGGGATCCAGTCATCATATCATGATAGGAAAACCTTAATTTTATAATTTATTAACAATGACAGACATACTGCTTAAATATGAAACTAAACTAGCCATCACCTCTCACTAAATATCATCAAGGACCATTAAAACTGAAGTACGCCGAAACGGAGAACCAAGGCTTCTTCTAAACTAATCGTCGCCCTACATTCACTTTCACAATTAATCGTCAAGACAATTAGATGATTGGTGATATTACATAAGACATTCTGTTTTATGATACTCTTCATTAAACTTTAATTATAATCTTAAATAAATCCATATTCATAGTCATTCGTACTTTTTTAAGTTTCCCAGTTTAGATCATAAAATAACAATGTATTTGGAGACTGTTTAATCAAATGTCTTTGGCTACAGGATTTCACCAAGAGCTGGCATCCGTTAGAGAACCATTCGAAAAGCTGTAGGGAGTAGTGGACAGCTGTTTCGTCCTTTGCTTGTATGAAAAGTAAGACAAAAGACCGTCTTCATATGGATGCATGGGAATATCTATTAAAATAATAGGCCACTATTTGTTTCATTGCAGTAAAGTGTATGGCATCCCACTGAAAAAAGCATTAACAAGCTTCATTGAAACTTTATTCCTATTAATGACTGGTAAATTTATCTATGAGAATTTCTTTTGTCATTCTTTGCATTCCGAGCGGAATATATGGTGTCAAAGCTTTTGAAATTGCAAGTTGCCCAGCCTTTCCTCTTCCTCTAGGCTTAGTTTAAGCTAGTCATCTAGGTGAGATCTAAGAGTATGTCGATTAGGAGTCGAACCCGGACCACGTACCTGATTGGCAAGCATGCTATCGTTGAATCATCGGCACACAAGTGCGAATTAGATGTATGTTTTTGTCAGTCACGGTGATCAGTAACTGTTTGGTGATCTGTCCTGTTTTTGCACAAACACGCGAAAAATGAAAATATATCAGTGGAGCGCAAGGTCGATAGTATACAATGTAGCAAGTACAAGAATAGGATGGAAATCTTTTCCCCCGGTAAGCTTCCATACTGTGTTCTATATTTTAATGCCTTTGATGTACTCTAAACTATCATCTCTTATTTAGCATCATGAATTTAACTAACGTCTAAGTACTCAACTTACAATTATATTACTATCCTTATAACTTTGTTTTATTTGTCAGTTATTTTGAAATCTAAACTGTTTTTATTCCTTTTATCGAGTTTATTTTCCTCACCTGACTGTCTTAGTTTGTATGTGACATTCTGAATCTCAAGAACAGAGCTTTCAGACAAGTGTTTATCAGTGTGGCATACATCGTGGTTCTCCTATCACAATATGTCCCATTAAAGTTTGCAGCTAACAAAGTACCTGTTCTGATCTCAAGTGAAAAAGAGACTAGTTAGGCCGTTCTAAGGTCAATATGCAAGATCCTAGTGAAAGGCATTTCTGCTGTCCGAACCGTATGCCTCTTCCTCATGGTCTATTCAGTGTCTGTGTTATACGGAACATTAGAGTCAAGTCCCTGTTAACATTTGTGTATGGGCCTTGATTCGAGGTTACTCAGGATAGGAGGTAACCAGAGGAAAAATTGTTTCTTTTTGGCATCTGTACCCCTATATCAGGTACCTGCCATTCGTATGCAAATAAGAATGAATCCTGCTATCAAATGAAGGATTTTGTTAGCTAAGTTCTCACGACAACTATTATAGAATAGATAGAATCTTAAATGCATAGTTGAGTTATTTCGCATCACAAAGAATTATATAGATGACTATTATTTAGATAATGCAGTCTTAACTGTGCACACTATAGTCTGCTTTTGGATAACAGTAACTTCATTCAAGGTTATCATCATGAGGCCATCTAGAGCCATACATCAACCTTTCAGCGGAATCGCACTGGAACCAATCAGATAACCAAATGTGTAGATTTATAAAGCGTTGCTATTTCTTCTGAAGTTCTTTTCTGGACTACAATCGTGTTTTATGTTTCTCTTGAATTTCAGCATTTCTCTCAACCATGTTCCTAAACAGGTAAACTTACTTCACTTAGTCTCACCTCACATTACAGCTTAACTAAGTCGGAAGTATTGGCTGTGTCATGATTTGTAGACTTCGTTCTAACGTATAAAAATGTGATAAACATAGAATAAGCTGAATGAAATAACCACTTGTTCATCCTTTTCTAGTTATGCTCAGACCGTCCCACAAAATGAGGCTGTTTAACTGTTAATGCCCTCACTTATAGCAAAGATAACTTAGTTCTTAACTGAGAAACCTTAAAACTAAGCTTTTCGTCCGTGCGCCCATCTAACGTTCAACGGATCTTACTTCTCGAATACTTGCTCGAAGGAATCACGACGCCAATATACGAGTTTTCGTTACATTTACACTCATTTATTTTCTAATATCATTTGAAATTCACTCCTCTTGAGTTATTTTGTTTAAATCCCTTAAAAACTTGATAGATTTCTAATAATTCTATCAATGATTCAAGAATCATTTTAGCCTAAATGATAAAATACACACATAAGTACTTCAAATGCATTCAATATCGATTGAATTTTTTGGCAGAAGGCCATATGTCCTTTAAAACTATATGTCAACTTTTGACATTTGCTTTAAGTCTAATTTCCACTTATCCTAGACATACATAAAGATATATCCACACATACCCTTTCCTAGGCCTATTACTGAGTATAAAAGGAATATATTGCGTAGGCGTTTAAATAGTAGAATTATGGTCAAATCATTCAGGTATTTGCCCACAACTGATCGACCAGTTTCAATGTATCGATCAATAGATGGATAAACTATAAGAAGAGCGTCACATAGACTCATACACACAAACACACAAGAGTATAGAAACAAACAAAAATAAATGTTTATATGCCGATGAAAATAGATAAACCTGATCAATATCCATGAGGTAATTGAACTGAGTACAGTATAGTTGAGATATATTGTGATAGTTAGACAGACAGGCATTTCTGGTTCACTGATTAGGTCACCTATTTTGAAATCTATCATCTTAGTGAATTTCTGTTAATTGCTAAGTTTCCCAGTGTTATACAATCTAAAATTTACTTTCTGTTTTAGTAAAGAGATTATTTCATTGGAGGTATTTTAAACAAACTTCATTGTGAGTACAAATCCTTTCACTAATTTCCAGATAACTTTATTATATAATCAGTATACTTAATAATTGCCAAATAGATATTCACACGGTTGGTTATAGGTACAGTCTGATTAATCAGCACTAAGGTGGTCGCTTATTCAGTACATAAGGTAACCCTGTTTCTAATCTTATGAAAAGGCATATTTACCACATAATGCTACCCAAATTTCTTGACAGTAAATGGTAGTAGAATAGATGAAATACACTGGACGACCGCTAAGAAGACCCTAGAAGATCTGGATTCTGCAGATGATATATGTCTAATATCACACAAACTCGAAGACTTGCAATCGAAAACCAGAAAATTGACTGAAGAGGCAGCGAAAACAGGACTGCAGGTGAACAAAGAGAAGCCCAAGGTGAAAAAGATAATCAACCAACCAAACAGAGCAACAGCCAGCACCAATCACCATCAACGGGATAGCTTTAATAGAGGTTGCCTCCTTCACTTATCCGGGAGGCATCGTTTCAACTACAGGTGGAACGGACGAAGATTTCAAAGCGAGTCAGTCAGAATCGGAAAGGCAAGAAACGCCTTCATCAACCTGAAAACAGAATCATGCGACCATTCTATCAATTCGTCAATTCAATTTCTAGAGAAAATCAAAAACATTCAGGTAGAAGACAATGAAATAATGGTGTCCTTTGATGTCACAGCATTATATACTTCGATTAGTCCAAAACTAGCAACAGAAACTATGCAACGATTACTCTATAGTGATGAAAACATAAAAACGCAATGTTCAACTTGGATAGAACTCATAAAATTATGCCTTACAACATACTTTCAATTTAATACTCAAATATATGAGCAAATAAAGGGAGCACCAATGGGATCGCCCATATCAGGATTAATAGCTGAAGCCGTTATGCAAAGATTAGAATTAATAGCTCTACCTATAATTAAACCGAAAATCTGGGTACGTTACGTTGATGATACATTTGTAATAATTAAGAGAAATGATTTAGAATATACCCATAAATTAATAAACAACATATTTGAAGACATCAAATTCACAAGAGAAGAAGAGTTAGATAACAAAATCCCATTTTTAGATGTCTTAATCAGGAGAACCAACACAGGAAATTTAGAAACACAAGTATACAGAAAGTCAACGCACACAGATCAAATACTCAACTATACTAGCAACAATCCAATTACTCACAAAAGAAACTGTGTGCAGACATTGTTTAGAAGAATTCAAACACATTGTAGCACACCAGAGTTGAAAAGAATGGAAGAAAGATACTTACAAACGGTGTTCAAGAAGAATGGTTATCCAAAAAATTTCATCAAAAAGTGTTTAAAATCGAATGAAAGCACCAACAAAGAACCATCACCAAAGACCAAAAAGCAATTCATCCTACCATATATCAGAAACATCTCTGAAATAACGGCTAGAATAATGAAACCGTTTGATATAGATGTAGCACACAAACCAGCTGAATCGCTTAATTCCATCTTATGCAAACCAAAAGATCCGATAGAAAAGGGAGATAAAATTAACACCATTTACAAAATAAATTGTGTGAACTGTAACAAACATTACATCGGCCAAAGTGGGCGTCCCCTTCGAATAAGAATCCAGGAACACAAATCAGCCGTGAAAAGACATGATATAAATTCTTTAGTATCAATACATTCAGACGATCATGGACATCAATTTGATTGGGATAATGTCAAAATCTTAAACAGAGGAAACACCAAATGTGCCAGAGAATTCCTAGAAGCCTGGTACTCAAATGAAAACGCAATTAATAAACACGTTAAT